TGTTGAGATGCTTGTGGTATTGACAATTAATGTCGTAGAATGTGAATGCTCGGTCGATGCCGTCGGTCTTGTAGGACAGGGCTTGGCACAGCGCATAATCCATGTTCATCTGCCTTCGGCCAGACCGACGCATCAGTTCAACCCGGCCAATGCAGCGTTTAGAAAGACGAACCTTTCCCCCTTTTGAAAGTCCACCATGGAATGGGGAACGAAACATCCATGTCTGGCGCAAGCACACCCGCCGATGCCGGTTGCTTCGAGCTTGTGCCGAGATGCATTTGCTTGGTTGACCGCTCGGTGATTGTTGCAATCAGATCTTTGATTGGTATCCTGCGCCTCGGCGAGATGCATTTTGTATCGGGCATCGCCGACCATGAATCCCAAGCCGTCGGTCAAGGCCACCTCGTCGGTCGGATTGGCAGGATGCAAGTGCTCGGCCTTAAAATTGCCATCCATCACCAAAGACCTGGAATACAGCCAGGCAGGGTCGGACCGATTCCTGTCTGCCAAATGGAAATTGACGCCGGACTGCGGACATGCAGGACAGAAGAGGGCGAGCTCCCCTGCCTTTGGCTTTCGCTTCTCATGGCCGAACCCATGCCACTTGAGCTGTTTGAGTTGTCGCCACTGTCTGCCGACCCGCATCAATTCCCGGTATCGGTCCTGTCGACAACAATCAGCGATGAAGTGCTGCACATCGGCATCACTCACCGGCACCAAATGAGGGAAGACGCTGGAGGTGACACGCCTTAGCTTACTGTAGTAATTCATTGCCGACGTGCCGCATTCCAGATTGTCCAACAGGAAGTCGTCCAACACAGCAAATGTGAATACTGTCTTCGGCGAAATGAAGGATGCTGGGAAGAGGCCGATCTCGAATAATTGCATGTCGGCACTCGGCGCCCCGGGACACTGGCACAATCTGATGGTCAAGGAGTGGAGCCCCGATGTATCCACGACCATTATAGTGCGAGGATCGTTGACCAGGGGTATCCAAGGTCCTTCGGTCAAATGATCCCCTTCATCATCTGTGTCATACCAGTCGTCGGTCATCCCGGGGCAAGGCTCTCCTGCATGACCGAGATGGATTTCCAGACCGATCTTGGTCAAGGAAGTGTCCTCGAAGAATCCTCCATTCCATTGACTGATCCGATGGAATGGCATGCGGCTATGAGCAGTCCTACAACAATGAGTGCAAAAGAGAGGCTTGCCCATGCAGCCGTCACATTTGTAGACTCCGTCCTTTGGACAGACCGAGCAAGTTCTGTCGGAAGGAGGACCCTCCCGGCGAAGGAGCAGGTCCAAGTAGTCATCAGTCTTATCCTTCCACTGACGCAGGTAGTCATTTTGACTCTTGATAGATACTCGGCATCAATAAATGGAAAGAGGAAAGGCAATGGTGAGCTTGCCATGGACTTTCGAAGCCGACAAGGCTCCAAGTTGTAATCGCCGAGGTCGTAGTGTTGATAGTCATCCTCCCGATGAAGTGTTCTGGTGGATCCCTGCTTGGTAGGTGATTTCCTGGGGGATGAATGCACTGATTTGCTTCTGTTTTCACGTCTAGCATTGACAAATCGACCTTTATCTCCCCTAGTTGTTCTCTTATCCACCCACCGAACCAAAGAGGATGCCTTCGGTGGACTCCAGGACTTTGGCTTTGACTTGACCATGGACCGAAGTCGGTTTGGGATTGCCTGGATGCGTTGTTTGGAATAGGATGCTTAGACTTTAGGACAGTTGGCTGTTGCATGCAATTGCCAGACGCTAAATCCAATGCATTATTGTATGTAATAGTCACTTTGATCTCGGGTAAATCATCCGCAGGTATTTTCATGCCGGGATATGTATTGTTCACAGTCATTCCATGGATAATTACTTCTAGAGCACTTACATGACCTCTAAGTTCCCTGCAAACACCAACCTATGTGTTTAAACTGCTCGAACGAGTCCTGCAGCAATGTAAATTATCTTATTCGGCACAATATAAGCCTTACGTGCTCTTATGGCACAGGCATGTCACACATCGGAAGCATTGCTCACTGGACCCTGCCCTACATTTTTTCTTCCTTCAAGCTTCCCAACCCTCCCCTTCACCCACATTTACAGGTCTTTACTATAAGCTGCACGCTGTGAAATGGCTCGGACAAAGGTAAAGACAGGGGATCAGCCTCGGTTGAACGACCGAGAGACCACGGCTCTGCGGTCCCATGTTGATGAATGGGAGAAGGCCAGTGGGACGGAGCGAAGATTGATTTTTAAGGCGGCCGCCAGAGAGGCCAAACTCTTGGCTCCGACAATGGACAAGGAGCTCTTGAAGCGTCGGAAACAGGTGAGTGTTTCGGCTTCGGCGTCGGTCATGCTCCTTCACACTGATCACCAACAGACATACAGGCAGTGGTTCCACAATCACAAGGCGCACAAGGCCGATGCCAAACCACCGATGAAGTTCCAGAAGAAATGGACAGCGCGCAGAGTCATCGAACAGCAGAGAAAGGCCGACATCCTTCAGCAAATACGGGATGAAGTTGAGGAGGAGACCGGGGAGAAGCCGGACCAGAAGGAAGTCCTGAGGAGGTATCAACCGATGATGACCGCAATCATGAAAGGTCTGAATGAGAAGGAGTTGGAGGAAGCGCAGGAGAAGGCCGACCAATGGACAAATGAAGCGCCCGACGCCGCTGTCCAGGCCAAGACAGCTCAGAAAAAGGGAGAGAAATTGATCAAGAACTTCGCCAAGAGATGTTCACTCAGGCCGGTATGAGACTCTTTGTCTTGGGATCTTGGAAGGACCAGAAGGGCGGCCTCCTGACATCTGGGTGAGTCGGTCGGTCGGTCGGTCGGTGATCTTGCTGACATGGTGCATTAGATTCGACTTTAATGAACAGCTCGGCAAGGGCTCCAGCTTCATGAAATACAAGGACTGGCAGGTCATCCTACCGGCATGGGAGGATTTCATTGGTGAGGTATTTGGTGAGTCTTGGGGTTGTATCAGAGGCTCAGTCTCTAATCGGCATCATGTCCATCCAGACCAGGACCAAGATCAGGACGGCATTGTGCTGGGAGCCACTCGCCGGGGACCCAAACCATACCATGAAACGAAGAAGGGAATGATTCGGTCTTTCCTAACCATCCATTACAGTAAGCATTACATCATAGAAACTGTGCCACCTTCTGATATCCCGCTATAGGAAGATGCTGTGGAAAGCCGAAGGTCCCGGTACCTTGGACCGACATCATGAAGGGACAATCAAGGTTCATTTCCAGCTTATACCTGCCGGACGACATTCAGATTCAGGAGCCATCCAAACTGCAGCGGAAGGAAGCCGACTCCTTGTTGGACTATTGGTATGACCGACAGGAGAGCCAGGTCGGCGTCTCATTCCAGTTCAAGGCCTGGATGGATGACAAGGGCAAGATGCACTCACCTGTCATTCCCGACTCAGATGACTCTGACGGTAATGCCGACGATGAAAGTGCGCGCCCCCAGCCAACCAGAAGGTCATCGGCCGCAGTTGCAAACTCCCCACCTGGACAAGTTGGAGCTCGGCGGTCCCGACTTGTCAAAGATCGGCCGAGGTCCACCAGACAAGCGCACATCAGTTCCTCCGAGGACCAATCCCCCGCCGATAACATATTTCATACCCCGCCGACCAAGAAGAAGAATCCATCCAAGCATGCTACCCGTATTAGTGACCAAGATGGTAACCAGTCCGAGTTCGATCACCGACGACCGGCCAAGAGCTTGAGGAAGACTGCAAGAGTTGAGCTAACCGCCAAGTCAACTAGGCCGGACTTGGCCCCTGCTTCCCGACCGATCGGGCACTCAGCAGGGTCAATCTCACGTCCCGGCAAACCATCTGCCGCAGCCAAGACCAGCCAGCCGGCTGCACAGATCGCCGAGGGTTCAGAGGATGAAACTCCCAACGGTATTGCAACCAAGGCCAGCCACCATGCTCGCGGCTTCGGCCCACATTCAGCTCGTCGGGGTCTTGAACATCTTCGCACACCCACAGCAGAGCGGGACCAGGTGCCAAAGAAAACCAAAGCTGTCAGAGCTGCATCACCGACCGAGGAAGACCGATCGCCGAAGAAGACCAGAGTCACCCGGTCGGCAGCGAAGTCGGTGGATGATGCACCGGCGCAGCGCACCAGGAGTAAGGCTGACACCTCGCTTGGTCCCAGAGCCAGGCAAAAGCCACAGAGGTACATCCAGTAGTCAGCGGTGTTGTGTCTTTGTCATGTGTCATCATCGGCACTCGGTCATCATATAAATCGGTACTTGGTATTTGTCGGACTTGGTATATAAAACATGGTAGTACAAGGTCTGCTAGACTACTGGGCAGTGGATTTTCCACTCCCCATTTTCTTCAACCCCAGTTGCAATATAATTAAAGGATCATTAACCTGATTGGCCATAGTCATCATATGCTCAATCCTAGCAATATCTTCCCTGGCTCCAGCAAATCGGTCCCGCGCATCCCTGTAGGAGGATATGAGATGCCGGTCTGCATCTGTCACATCTGGGGACAATTGGCCTTGGTCATTGGCTTTCAACACTCGGTAAAAACACTTACCTGACTGCCCCATCAGGGCATCAATTGTTTGAAGCCTTTCATCGGCTCGGCGCAGCAATTCCTCATGTCTTGTGAGAATCTCGCTCGGTGACCGATTTCGCAGTGCCGAGGATACAACAGGTGATATTCCCGACCGGCCCGAGGTTACCGGCCCAGTGCTCGGCCCTTCGCCCAGATCCACTGTAGGCTGCATTGATTGCCGACATTCACCTTTAAAGTCGGCTGCCGATGCAGAAGGGTCCTCCCATGGCATATCTGCAGCTGCCAAAACTGCACCAGCAACCGTCGGTGCCGACTCGGCGTCGTCCCAACACATGTCATAGGTCGGCGCATCTTCGGCGTCATCCCAACACAGGTCATACTGACCTGCAGCTTGAGTGGGAGAATCGGTGGGTGCGGGATCTCCCTCGCCATCCCAGCCCATGTCATATGCTGTGATCGGTCAGAAATCGGCAATTGGACACATGAAGTGCACTTACTTTCATTGCCGAATTGCAGTTCGGCCGAGGTACTTGCAGTCGGGGTCACCAGCTGAGGCACTTCATCTACCTCGGTGCCCCACAACATCTCGAATTCTTACATGTCATCAGTGATCATGGATGGTCCATTACATAAAGGACTTACTTTCGCTGCCAAATTGCTGTTCGGCCGACGCACTTGCAGTCGGCGTCACCACCTTCGGTACTCCATCCTCCTCGGCGCCCCAGCACGTGTCGAATTCTAATATTTCGTCAATAATTATCGCTGGTCGATCACAAAAAGGACTTACGTTCATTGCCGAAATTCACCTCGGCAAGTGATTCTGGGTTTGCCGATGCGCTGGCAGTCGGCGTCGCTACCTTCGGCACTTCATCGGCCTCAATGTCCCAGCACATGTCAATTTCTTATTTCATTCATTAGTAAAGGTTAAAGCGAAGTGTTAGCAAGTCATCACTTACGTTCATGTCCGAAGTATTGCTTGGCTAGCTCTGCCGCTGATTTCTTCCTTGATGGCATGAGTGATGTAGGATAGTCAATGGGTGATTTCGCTTTGGGTGGGATGGGACGCTTGGGGGGAATGGGAAAGGTGTTGAGGCCAACAGGAATCCAACTCTTTTGAGGGAATGGAGTCGGCCACAGCTTTGGCGGAATCCACCGATCCCACGTCACAAAATAGTTCCGATCGGCTTTGATGCGCTCTTCTTGTATTCTACGAGCTTTGTCAATCGGATGTTCGGGTGAATCCATAGTGTTGGCACTCGGTATAGCTTGCCGTGTGGAAGGTGATTGTGCCACTGAAACCCCGATTTGGATCAACAATGCCCAAGTCACACGCCACGTTCCACAACTCGGCAACTGCCGGTGGCGTTACATCGTGCCGATCACACGCTTTACATCTGCGGACTTATTATTTTGAAGTTCAATCCACATCCACAAAAAGTCATTCCCTATATAACTCGGCCAAAACTTGTCCTTCGGTTTCTTCTTTACCTACATAGCTCCTTAAACACCAGTATATTCCGACTACATTTTTTTGATCTTCTATTAACCATGCCGTTCCAATTCGAATCCGACTCTGCTTTGGTGCTCGCCGAGACCAATCTGCGTCACGACATCAAGCGGATCATAGTCTTCCAATCGGATGGAAGCGTGTCAGTTGACAGGTCGCATGACGTCGCTCGTAAAGTGGTGAGTTGTTCTGTTTCTACTTTAGTTTTATTCATGTACCGATCTTTCCCAGTCTCAAGCTCTGAAGGACCATGGCCGAAATGCCTCGGTCATCCCGCCATTCCTGCTGTCTGTGGCAGCCGAGGTGCGGGACACCATGAACAAGTCCATTGCTCCGGACTGGAAGCGAGTCCGGGATGATGATCCCCGGATACATTCTCATCCTTTCTTTGCCAAGACCGTTGGCTATGGTAAGTCGGTTAAATTCTTCTCAGTATCGGCATCCTGACATCTTCCCAGTGAAAGGCGGTAAACCCGCCACCGGACCACCATCAAAGAAACTCTCCGTTCCTCCCATCGATATCCTTCCCACCGCCCCTCCACCAACCACTTCGGTCGCACCTGAACCGACCGCCGACAAGGGCAAAAGGCCTGTTCGTGAAACTCGCAAGCGCCGGTCTGACAGTCCGGTGGCCGCTCCACGCAGCAAGAAGCCCAAGGTCCCTAAGCCAAAGTCAAAGGCACTCCTCACCGACACCGAGGATGACGCCGACCTTCCCACCGGAACAGTTATTGTGACAAAGGTAAATAATTATTTTTCAAATGTTGACCTAGCCACTGACTATCCCTAGAAGTCAACAAATGCCGCGCCGGCCCCCAAACAGGTGAGATTTTCGTCTTCCTGTCTCTCTTCCCTGCTCAGCAATCATGAGTCACAGGCCGATGAGAAGATCGCTCGCACCCTGGCCAAGGGTAAAGGAAAGGAGGAGGAGAAGGAAGTTGCCAAGCCCACCAGAGGCCGACAGATGGCAAAGGCCGATGAAGATAAACATGACGATGAAGATCAGAATGAGGATGAGGATGAAGATGCCAACACCAAGGCCGATCCAAAGGCCGATCCCAACGCCGAAACTGTGAGTTGTGTTGGATTTCACCGACTGACAACACCGACTAACCTCCCAACAGTACAATCCTCCTTGCAAGAGGTGTGGAACGGCACCTTGCCTCGTCTATGTCGGCAAGACTGGGCAGGTCGCCAAGGCCTGCACCAGGTGCCACATCATGAAGGTGAAATGCGACCGACCGGTCTCATCCAGGCCCGCGCGGGCATCCAGGTCCAGGGTTCGCTCCAGGAACACCAGAGCGACCTCAAGTGTGCGTGCTGCCACTCCCATAGTCGAGTCCGAGGAAGATGGCAGTAAGTTCTTTTCTTGTCAATCTCATGTCGTTTACTTAGTCCCGATAGATGCGCCGGTCGCCGCAGCTGCCGACATCGACGTTGAGATGTCGGCTGAGACTGCTCCCCAGGAACCCATCGTCCTCGATGAACCTCGCGTCCTCGCATCGGCCGCCGACTTCCCTGCCGAGCATTGGCAAGAGCCCGATGCCGATGCCGCCCCCATCCCCATTCCCCCGCCGACTCCTTCTGCCGACCTCCCTTCCCTTCCTTCGGCATCATCGTCGCCGACAAACGCCGAGATTTACCAGATGGTCCTTGGCCTTACTTCCAGGCTCGACGCGATGGAGAACGACTTTGAAACTCGCATCGCCTCCATGCGCGCTGAAATGTCGCAACTTCAATACGAGTTCGCCTTCTCCGCGGAAACTGTGCGAGGACTGTCCGGCATGGTTGAGCAAGTTCGGCAGGAGCGGGTCGCCATGAACCACGTATTCCCACCGCCGAGGATGAGCCACATCGGTGGTTCCACCGCCAGCCAATTGGGGAGGAGGTACCTCCCCAGTGTGTTCGGCCCTTCGGTTCCTCCTACCGGCCAGTCATCGGCGTCTGCCATGGTCGGTCGTCCTGACATGCAGGGCGGCACCTTCACATCCGGACAGGCTGAAATGGAGTCAACCATTGCCGGTTCTTCATCTGTTCCTGGTCAAGCTGGTGCAGATGTTTCATCTTCTTCACCTGTTTCTGCTGCGCGCTCCCTGCCCTAATTATGTACCAATCTACATACAATACCTACTTGTACTATAGAATGTGTCGGTCGGCGAAAATAACGCCTGTATATATCACTTTGGAATGAAATGGTTACGGCTAGTGTTACCTTTGTGCGCTAAGTGTCAGTATTTCTCTGCATGACCGATTGTATTTTTACCGATTGTCTTTTGACCGACTGTGATCTGACCGACCGACCGATTTCACCGACTGGTGATTTCACTTTGCAAGACCGAATGTATTTTGTCACCGAGTGTATTTTTACCGATTGTATGTTGACCGATTGTCTTGACCGACTGTGATCCGACCGACCGACCGATTTCACCGACTGGTGATTTCACTTTGCAAGACCAAATGTATTTTGTCACCGAGTGTATTTTTACCGATTGTATGTTGACCGATTGTCTTGACCGACTGTGATCTGACCGACCGACCGATTTCACCGACTGGTGATTTCACTTTGCAAGACCAAATGTATTTTGTCACCGAGTGTATTTTTACCGATTGTATGTTGACCGATTGTCTTGACCGACTGTGATCTGACCGACCGACCGATTTCACTGTGATTTGACTTTGCAAGTATGTTGCGGATGATATGTACTCAATCTCAACATGTTGACTGACTGACATATTCTTGATATACCACCGAGCATCTTTTTACCGAGGGGGTATGTCACCGAGCATCTTTTGACCGAGGGGCTATGTTACCGAGCATCTTTTTACCGAGGGGGTCCGGGGCATGATTTATACCACCTCGGCCCATCTGTACATATCGGCACAACTGCCCATTCGGCCCACCCGTTCAAATCAGGTACATACTGTTTACACTACCTGTCAAGGTTAATAGAAAAGTCTACACTTATCTACTACACTACATACTACACTCTTTGACCGGCCCACCCGTTGGTATCAGATACACACTCCCGACCGGCCGACCCGTTCATATCAGGTACATATTTCATACAATACCTACCATACACTATCTACCAAAGTCAATAGAATGTCTACACTTATCTACTATACCACACACCATGGGCCCATTGATTGTATCAGATAAATACTTGGTGTCGGCCCACCTGTATTTAACAGAACAATACATTCATCGGCCCACATCCGCTGGCCTGTGTAGAACAGGGATATTTCAACCTCGGCTGTCTGTTTCTATCAAGGGTAAAGTGACTGCAGTATGTGGTTATGTAATGTTTGTGTATCAACACTAGAGCCTTTGAATCGAGTTGTATTGTTCTGCTTATGTAATATTCAATGTTGTTCCCTACAAACAAACATTGCTGCACGTTACGTAATTTTTCTTTCTCTTTCCCTAACCACGATGTTCCCCTATTTGCGCTATAGGGGTTAGCTCATCGTTGACGAGCGCAAACGCTTGTTGACGTCGCTACTTGGCCCGAGCGCAAACGCTCGTGCCGATCTCCCCTTTTTTGTCGACGAGCGCAAACGCTCGTCGATGATCTTCTTTTTCTTGTCGACGAGCGCAAACGCTTGTCGATGATGAGCGCAAACGCTCATCGATCTTTCTAGTTGGCCCGAGCGCAAACGCTCGTGCTGATTTTCTCTTTTTTGTCGACGAGCGCAAACGCTCGTCGATATTTCTACTTGGCCCGAGCGCAAACGCTTGGGTCGATCTCTCCTCTTTCTCGTTGATATCCACTTCCGCGTTGTGCATAAACTCTGGCTACCATTTTCAACTGGTCTGATCGTCGACTGCAGGTACGATTATTTTTCATTTTATTATAACTCGTTGTCTCACCAGCGATCCGCAAATTTACTAGTCTTCACAGCGCTGCACGGACCTGCTGTCAGTCAGTCATGGCTGCGCTTCTCTCACTCCAATCGTCTTTGGTAAACGCATTTGACGAGTAGGTATTCTTACATCTATCCCCGTATTTTTCACTCGGGACTAATCGATTAACTCGATTCACAGTTGTAGATCAGTTCATTGTCCTTCCTCCCAGTCCACTGTAGCACGCGTGCCTTCCTCCCCCATCGGCAGCTCCTGCAACCCAATCTGCAATGGTGACGTGCTCACTCTGACGCTAAACCTGTGCTTGCAGGCCCGCAAACCCCAAGCAGATGACGAACCTCTCCATCATGAAGGATAGATTGACGTCTTGTCTCAAATTTGCGCCACAACGTTGGGTATTGGGGACATGAAGGAGATCGAAGCAGCAAACTACAAGTGCCTCATCCATATGTGCGTTTACTGCCCCCTAATTAACCCATAAACACGCTGGTCCGTTCTGCGCTATGGCCTCGCCCTTGTTTAATCAGTCAAATACTCACACTTTATCTTACAGTGCCGTCTCAGCAGACCATGCACCATCCCAAGACAATATGTAATCGCAGTCTTCACTGCACGTGAAGCCCTTTACGTGGCTGTCGACACTGCCAGTCAAGCCCAACACTCCATCAGCGTCTCCTTACACCTCAGAACGTCCCGCCGCTATCCGATCTCATCAATTTGAGGGTTCCTCGTTTTGCAACTGCGTTTTATCAAGGCGTCGGCAGTAACATTGCTGAGAATCCGGAGCAAGCGAACAGGATTACATCTGGAGGTTGGCATCTACAATCACAACTGTTTTCACAGTAAGTCTATTAATCATTCAGCGCGTTTACAACATATTCTTACCCCAACATCCCAGGCTGCACCCCTTTCGGCCTTACTGCCATCTCTGTTTGATTCCCCTCTGCGCTGGAGGCATGTCCAGTCAGGCACGAGCTTCTCTTGAGAACCACGGCGATTCAACTGTGCCCATACTGTTACGCGCTAGATTTATTACTTGCCCGCCTACTCGCCTGTCTTAGTGCGATCGCCTCAGCCTATCTCTTCTCCATACTCTGGGTTCCTGCATTCCCTCGCCCCTAACCAGCAATATTCAATAACCACTTTAGCGATTCTTTGATCGTGCGCGAGGCCGCAACTCCAGATATTCAACAATACAATTCCTACGTCGCGAATTGTACTACTCTTCTTCGTTTCTTTGGTCAGGCACTCGTTTGGACCACTGTTGGTGCCTAACGTGTCATTACGCACCAGCCTCATACGTGGACAGCTATCGCACCACTTCTCACCGCCGCCACCTGGATACGCAAGCCTATCTCCTGGCCCAAGCCAACCATCCACCGCGATCTCTCTGCCCCGTCCACGATACACTTTGCTATCGGCATTCTTGCTGGGCGGTACTTCGTATGAGCACGAAGTTCTCGGTGTTCCATTGCCTCTACTGCTCCCATTCTTGGGCCTCATTTCCAAGGGTAAACTAAACCTGCCAATATTCTCGGCTCCACGACTCCCAGCCCACGCCTAGCCCCGTTGCTTCCTCCCTCAGGGCTCTCCCCCAAATCATCTGGCTTACTTCTCAGCCAGCATCTGCACGCAGCCCTACCAGAAACAACTCAGAGACATCTAACCATCTGCGCAATGCCTCTGAAATACACATCGTGAGTTCAATCGGGTATTCGGTCTGCAGATGGCTGACTTTCCCACGTATCAGCCTCATCACCCTCGCTGTTCAAAACGCGACCCTGTCCATCGTGATGCACTACTCTCGTGTAACGACGCCTCCACACCCGTTGCATCCCCCTCCAGTAGCTGTATTACTATGCGAAATCCTCAAAGGGTCTATGCATTTCACCATTGCACTGCGGAGAGCACAGGACGTAGGATAATCTCATTGGTCATCTCAGAAATCAGTCAGCGGCTTCGTGCACTCGTTATTTCCAAGGTGCGCACCTATCTGCCAAGTATGCAGTGAAATCAAGACCACGAACTGACAACCGTCTTGGGCTATCAGAGTATCCACGCGCGATGACAAGCCAACAACGCTCAGAGGAAGATCTAATGACAGCGTCATCTTCCTCCCTACACCCCCACCAGCCCTCACGAAACACCGGCATGCTCTCCTCGAGCTTCTTACCTCTGAACGTGCCTATGCAAGCGATTTGGCACTCCTCACGGATGTGTCTATGAGCTTGGCGACAGGTGTGTTCTCCTACTTTGTAATCTCCTTGCAAATTATTCAAATCCTCTTTTGTTCCAGGTTATCCTCCCCCATTCGGTCTCTCATGTACTAAACGCCCAGTCTCGGGTTCGAAAGTTTCGAATCCTGGGTCCAACGCACCTAGCTCAAGTTCCCAATCCACCAAATCACGCTCCGGCACATGTACATCCTCATCTTGTAGCCTGATCTCAAAGTCTTGCAACCTGTCATGCTGGTCACAGTGGACGACGGTCATCTAGAAATTGGGGAAAGTGGGAAAAAAGACAAAAAGGAGTGGCGAGACAAGACTGAGCAGTCCTATACCAATCGAGGCAGCTGATCGCAGAGAATTTTCCAAGAGGAGGTATTTCTGGTCTTAACGAATGCGTGAGCAGAACCCATCATGCACTCTGCGGTTCAGTATTCTCACTTGCCGCTCAGGAGATCACTGTCACCAACTATTCTGGCGCCGTGCGACATTATCCGAAGAAACTTATTCAAATCATGGGCGGAAGGTTCACGCCGAGTATGAGTCAGAGCAACAAGGTCCTGGTCGCTGGCTGGTAAGCATTTCGAAATAGAAAATTCACAATTATACTGATGGCTCATAGTTCTCCTTCGACTAAAACACAACGCGCAGGTCGTCGGCCAGGGAGTCGGTCCCTTTGATATTGACTCAGAGGAGGCGAGGGATGCAGAGTATCGTAGGAGCATGATTGATAACGTGGAGCCCGTCACCTCATCCACCAAGACTCCAACACCACTAGTAAAGCTAAGACTGCATCCAGGAAGTCGAAGCCAAAGACCATCGATGAGTTTGAGGATGGCTCGCCTCAGAATTCGTCCCAGCCAGTAGCATTTAAGGCCGACGCACCCTGCTCTCACTCCTCCCCCAGCTACAGATATGAGTGTGAGAGACGATAGAGAGGTGGAGATTGCAGTTAATTTCGGCGATGACGAGGGCCCCAACCTTGGCGATGCTGGCAACATAGCGCCCGGTGCAGCCATGAATGTCGACGACGAATACATTTCCCCTTCCAAGTCAGTGAGACAACAGAACCCGAAGCCGAAAACAAAATCCTCGGAGAAGTTGAGGAAACTATCACCTCAGCATGTCACCGTCGAAGAAGAGGGTACCGCAACAGGTATTGATAATGGTAGCTCAAGACTCACAAAACCGGTACCGCGCAAACGTTCGACGATCATACGAGAAAGCACTACATCTAATGCGTCTGATAACGTCGTGGAGGTGCAAAAAGGGCCAATGCAGATGGTGTAAAGAATCTCAGCGATATCAACGAGCAGAGCTCTGCAGAGGATGAGCCTCCCTCTAGCGTCGAGTCTAAAGCTAGCGGGAAGTCGTCTAGCAAACTGCCCACCACACAGGAGAAGACCAAGCATCGCAAAGCTCGCCTTCTGCCCCCTTCTCCGAACCCTAACCCGACTCCGAACTTCATCTGCATCGGCTGCCAACAACGCTACGTGATGCACGTGTCGTGTCACGTCACGCCTCCTCTCACGTCGCCGTCGAGCACCCTGAGGCTCGAGCAGTATGGCCATCTCCAGCGATGTGCATTATGTTATTTTATCTTCAATACCAGGGCCACAGCGCAAGGAGCTTTCAGGGTTGCTGGACCTCAACTACGAGCGCACCACCACACTCCCATCTTATTGCCCTTGCTGGATCACGGACTCAGCACGAACACGCGGGATCTTTGCATGTAGTATCGGGTATGTGGGTACAGCGCAGCATAGTCCATATTCCTCTGGAATCTTCAGTTGTGAGTGTACTTTGCCTTTTAGGCTAGTATCAAGGCCATTGATAATCGTTTTCAGAGAGCAGTACTATTCGCCTGATCCAACTATGATTTTTCAGGCATCGTTGCGTGTGCCACCGATGTGAGTAAATAGTCATAGTCATTCCTCGCGTTGTATGATATCCATCATCTCGTACGCAAGCTCTCCCCATCCGACCTGGAAGTTTTCTCGGCAGGGATCACCTCGTTAGGAGCACGATGTCAAACGGGCCCTACTCGCGATGTAACACATCTCTTCGCATTGCATGAACATCCAGGGCCTCTCGTTGTAATAGCTTCAGAGAGCATAGGCGAGGCTTTTGGGAATTTGAAGGCGGGAAATGAAGGTCTGGAGAAACTGAGAGAGGCGAAGCAGAAGTGGAAGAAGTAGCTCGCGCTGTGAATGAGGGACGAAGGCGGGTCGAAGTTGTTAGAGAGATCCTCGACTCTGGACATGCGAAAGAAGGCCCTGGAGCACGCAGCGTAGGATGCATTGGCATCCCCAAGGTGGGCGTTGTAAACGCCTCCGCCTCGCGTTCACCCGTCCCTCAAAGCCCGATCCCAAGCGAACGCAGTCCAAACATCTTCACCACCTCACCCCCATCCCCCTCGCACTCACACTCACATACACATTCCCCTCCGGGATCTTCTCACAGGAGCTCCCTTGGTCCTGACTGCTAATGGGTTTATTTGCGTTGGGACAGACAAGGGCCAGATATTCGTTTTTGACTTCAAGCAAACATTGAAGTGCATATGTGGCAGTGACTCGTCTGGTAATTTGAAATCTGTTGAAATGATATTCGTCATCTAATCAAACCCATTCAGGATCAACTGTTGGGCCTGTCTCTGCGATCGCGCTGTCAAACGACCATACGTTTGTCGCATCTGGGCATACTACGGGCTATATCCAACTTTTCAACTTGAAAACTCCTGAAGTTGCAGCTCGAACCATGACACCTGTTTCTCTTGCCACTGTCGCATCTGGCCGCCAGGAAGGACATCTTCCAGGCTCGCGTATCATCAGCAGATCCTTCGTTGCTGGCCGTCATACAGCTGCGGTCTCTGCTGATGAGCACGGCCCGTCCCCCTACCACAGCTAGTGTCACTGGTCATCCCGCAAATCCATTATCACACCAGAACGCACTTGATCACCTTTCCTTTCGCCGCAGAAGACGACCACGCAACACAGTTCTTGCAATGACCGCTCTTCCCCTGCGTTCTCTTCCACGTCCCACCGATGTACATCAAATCGTTACTTTGCTGACGTCCACAAAACTTGTTATCGTTGGCCTGAAGCTTACTCCGAAGACATGGCTGAAGATTATGCGAGATGAGGAACAATTGTCGTCCCCTGCTTATTGAAGGAGAGATTGTCTTGCGCGGTTCCTAAGCGTCCCCAACACAACCCTGTCCTCAGTGAAACCAGTAGTCGAACATCGCGCAATGTGAGTCCCGTATCCTAGCGGATGTTTCTTAGTGTTAACGCCACGAGCAGACCGCGAGGGCCAAACTTGAAGAATTGGAATAGAGCTTGGAAAGATGGCGCGCTGAGAGGAAACCAGGAAACCAACAAGACCGAGGTGCGCATTTTTCCTAGTTCATTGTCTCCTAGCTGTTTATTATATCTATAAAGTTCGTTTCCTTCTAGGGATCACGTGCAGTTGTAATCACAGCAGCCTGGGGAGTAAAGGAGACTCGAAATCTTGGCTGGAAGAAATAGATTCGTTCCGGCCAAGCGACCCTTGGCTCTCCATGGTCAATTTGTGTCCTGGCTCGCAGATCTCCAGCCTCGATAGAGGTCTGAATATGAGAAACTGCAGGTGCGCTAACTGTCGACCTTGGCGCCCTTAATGTCACTAACAATCACACAGACCGCACGGAATGTCAAGAATGACGAAACCAGCCACAATTTATGGGTGCTGCACTACGCGCGCGGAGTGAGGAAATACACGAGATTAGATTGTACGTTGGCCTCCTAATTGATTCTCATAACTTTCCTCACACTTTTCCTTGCCATAGAAATACCGTCAAGCTGCCCATCAAAGTCGAATCATCAGTCCACTCGGTTCAGGGTCTCTCATTTGAGTTCCACAGGTTTATGCCTGCATTTACAACCAAGGAGCGTATCAGGGCAGTCGAGCTTCGCATTGCATGAACATCCAGAGCCTATCGTTGTAGATCCTCGGCTCTGGACATGCGAAAGACGGCCCCGGAGCACGCAGCGTAGGATGCATTGGTATCCCCAAGGTGGGCGTTGTAAATGCCTCCGCCTCGCGTATGCGTTCTCTCCGCACTCCAAAGCCTCTTGCTTCGTCCTCGAGCATGAAATCCACGTACACATCCTCCCCTCTCTCCAGCGTTTTCAGCTCCAACCTTCCGCACACTCGTCTTCATCGTAGTCCTTCCAACGATTTTGAATTGGAGTCAATCGTTCCAGTTCATCCGACCGCCGTTCGTCGTCCCAACTACATCACATCCAGTCCGAAAACACTGGGTGACGATGTCCTCGATCTCATTACGGTACCGCTGCTACTCGCGTGCAAAGAGGTCAGTTGCATTTCCTTCCATTTTACTCCACAGCCTTAATGTTTTCACCTAGTTTTAGAAAGTTTCAGCGCGGTCGTCTGCCTCCCACTAAAGGCGTCATCGAGCTCACTGATTCTTCGCATTCTGCTAGACGAAGAAGGGTCCCGACACTTCCTCCTGACGCTGAAGTTATTTGCATTTCGGACAGTGATAACGACAATGTCTTCGCTCCCCACCAGCCACCGTCGTCTCTCCCATTGCAGAGCCCAGTCTACCTTTGCATTCGCCGCCTCCAATAGTCCCGGAATCAGAAAATGAACCTGTGCTCGATTTCGACCTTCATGCTCCAGAAGACTCGCACTATGAACCGATGGAGCGTGAATCCAACTTCGACGAAGAATTGGCAAGATCAGAACTGCATCGTCAAGCAGAGGAATTGTTTTCGTACGTTGATTTGGACCCTCCAGAACAAGATAACGTTGACCTAATTGCTAGTCTGATTGACCAGAATGGCTATAACGCTGCTCAGGACCCAGCACTTCACATGCCCACCGATTCCACCCCTTCATCCTCAGAGCAAGCAACCGAGACGTCCCTGAATGATATTGTTCCAGTCGGGATAACTTCTCAACTCAATGCAGCCGTTACTCCTCATTTATCATCACCCTCCAAAACTTCAACGGTTCCACCAGAAGTTCTGTCTGGGACATGCGCCACTGCGACCGCCATCACTAGACCCTCGATAACATGGAGTTATACCACTCCCAGCACCAACTCGTTATTTGCTAGGGCGCTTGCTTTCAGTGAACCGACCGCATCCGCTTCTCCCGTTGCTCCAGCTGCTGCCTCCTACAGATAAGGTCCCTATCTCCACGTCGGACACGGTAACACCCCCATCGACGGCGCCTCCCTCCTCCGTCCCCTTCCCCGTGTCCCACCACGCGCGCAGAGGCCCGTCAAGCTCTCGCTTGCCGAGTGAATCGACAACAGGCGAGAGGAGCACTTCAGGTCGCATCCTTTTGACGAATATCTCGAGCGGTGGTAGTGAAGCACCAGCAGCCAGCAACCCAGCACATCGTCTGCCGCATCTGCCAGCAGCACCCTCGTTCCCAACACTTCTCCTCCTCGTTCCATCACATCTAATTCAACATCATCTAGCAACCAAAGTACCTCGAAATAGAGTTCGCGCAGGAAGAACCGCTCGATGGGCATTGCGAGCGTTGAGGCGTTCATTTCGCCCATCCCAGCTTACACCGACGAAGAAGACGACGCCACAGAGCATGAAGAGAACCTAACCCATATTGTGGGCGACAGAGGTCTAGGCTGCTTACTGGTCATCTGCGATGACGACGGCACTGCCTTGTCTACGCCCGATGCAACGACGTAAGTTATTCGAAATCACCCTCATCGGAAATACTGAGTACATGATCCAGGTATATATTCTCTGTCACGTTCTCGCCCACGATCATGCTTCTGATCGGGAGGTTCACAATCTATTCGGCTCTGAGCAAAGCCAACATATACCGGATTCTAATTACAAGTGTTCTGAGCCTCGCAGGTTCAAAACTTAGTTCGGTGCTTCTTAACTTTATAGGTGTCTATTGTTTTGCGAGTTTGTGGATCAGGTAGGTCACACCGATCCCCGTTACTCATGTGTTGCTAACGCGTCTGTAAAGTTGCAGCACCAACACTGTCCTTCACTCTCATCCGAGTAAGTAACATGCATTCCACACCCGCAGAAATGGTTATCTAATTTGTATTGTCTTCAGCCGATCTTGAGAACATTGCCACCTGGCTCGTCTTTTGCGCCAGCGCTATTCGTTCGTTATCCTCCAGAACGTATTCCTCCCCTCAGAAATGAACCAGCTCGTCGTGCCTCTTGATGGCGCCGACATCGTTGGAAATCTCAAGGATTCCGATCGTAAGTACTTCATTTACCCTTCAATGCAGGCGTTCTGATATTCCTATAATAATAGATGTTCTAACACACCTCACACCTTCTGTCCACGGACTCTACCGTGCCATCACTTCTACTCTCTACCCATGGACCGCCTCTCAACGGCACCTCCTTTCCGCATCCCTCAAATCCCTTGTTGCAATACCTGAATGCCGACTGATGTACCTACAGCCAAAGAGAACCTCGTGTAATGCGGATGTGTTGGAGTTACTGCAGATTATGGTAGATGACGTTTCGGCTGTATTGTAATACAAATTGAAAAATAATAGTACGGAAAGCACAACGAAGTGAACAAACGGTGAACAGCGCGGGTCCTAGAATTGTCTTGCATCAAATTACGAAAAAGTCACGCGGAAAACTACTGATATCAAAGTAAATCCCTACAAAGTAAGTGCGTCATACACATGTTGGACGGTTGTTGTGTTTTGTTTGCACCAGCTTAAGTAATACTCAACGCTCGTCCCTACAAAGTAACATGGTCTTGTATTACATAATTTTTCTTTCTTCTTCTTCAACCACCATTACCCCTATGGCGGTTGGACCGCCGTCATAGTTCCAAGCTGTGTTGATTGAGCTCTGCAGTTCCAACCTGTGGAGTTCCAACCTGTGTTGGGTGGCTTTGCACGCTCCCTGGGTCATGCCGCCTGGGCTGCACTTTGTGCTCGTATACTCGAATATACCCCTGCGCAAAGTCAACGTCCAATTGGACACCGACCAAGAGCTACCCCAGGTAAAAGACACACTTGAACAACGTCTGGCGGTTTCCCTACATGTTTCTATCGATTTGGTTTCTCCATCTGCAACCCTCAAGCGTCACCCCGTCACCCCG